ACATTGATAATGATAAAAACAATGGTGCCATTTTGTTGCATTTAAATAATGGAGAGTTGGCATATGATATGAGAAATTTAACCAAAAATTAAAAGAGATTAATTTAAAAGAAAGGAAAATAGTGAATAATATGAATTTCAAAACTGACAGATCAAGAGATTGTCAATTGCATATTTCACTACCAGGGCTACCTGATCTGGAAAATAGAAAGCTCTATCTTTGTTGTCAGAATAGGTTTTGATGTTTGTCAATTTTTAACTATACGATGTCTTCAGATGGAGGAGAGAGGAGATTCAGAAAGCTGGGGAATGGGACAAATGATCCTATAATTCATGATTCTGAAGTGGGGGGAAGAGGATAGAAAAAAATATGGCTACATGGTCAGAAAGTAATTTTGTCATTTCTCAGGTTTTGTTAATAGCTCTTATTTTCTGTTCATGATTTTAAATGTAACATTAAAGCATTGAGACCTGTACATGATTAGCTTAGTGAAGGCTTGATCCACAAGAACTCAGGGGCTTAAAAGTTATGTAAGGCTTAAAAGTTTCTTATTTAAATTTGATGGACAAAGGTGCCTTCTGTCTGTGTCTATGGGTCTATCCCCTCTTTCTACTTCTGTTCTCACTCACCCCCCACCCTAGGCTAAAGTTCTGTATGTGATTGGATGGATTCTTGCCTCAGCTTTTAAAAATCTAATTTTCTCCAGGGCAAGGACTCCCCTGGGGATTCAGCTCAACCTAGTAGATTCAGTCCAGGTAGGACCAGTCCCTGCCTCCCAGGTTGAGCAAAGTGTCCCTGCATAAGCCCCAGGTTCCAAACAGCCAGCTCATGGGGTGGGCTGAGTGGAGGGCAGGGATTGGGGGGAGCGGGAGGAGGAAGGACAGGGAAATCCGTCACTGATATGTAAAATTGAATCAAATTATAAAATTAAAAAAATAAAATTAAAAAAAAGAAGAGAAAAAAATCTAATTTCATTTAGTCTGAAATACTTCAATACATTAGTTAAGCAAGAACTCAAAGCTTAGTAGAATTCTTCTTTTTAAATTGTTTTGGCTTCCCTTAAGTGAAGGACTGAACTTTAACCCACATATAGCTTGTAGACCTGAGGCCTGCAGCAAAGCTCCAGGCAATATCTACCTCAAACATATGCTTAGGGAATTGTTCCTAATAGGAAAATGTGTCTAGGGCTTGCTTTTTCAAATACATGATATAAAGAATTTTTGAATAATGTCAAAATAACCTTAACATAAAAACCATTACAAAAAAACTACCCCACATGATTAAAAAAAAAAAAAAACAAAAAAACAAAAGGAGAAGCAGTTCAAAACTCGATGTCTACATTATCGTCGCCCATTCCTGTAATGGCATAAACATTTATAAAATAGAGTGCTGATACACAAGTTACCCACTGATAGAAGAATCAAATGACTAGAGATTTTTATAACCCATCTCCATTCACTTGGATGTAGTGAGATATGTAATGTAGCAGAAGCCACATCTAGAATTAAACCTGATTTAGTATATCAAGAAGCAAGTATAAAATTGAGAAGAAATAAGATAATTGACCATGCATTAAACCTTGATATTCTATCTTGGAAACCATTAACTTGTATTTCGTATGCACCAATTTCTATAATTTATAACTTATAACAAAGGATCTCTTAAAGTTTTTATATTTTCAAAAAAGCCAACATATGTGCTTTGATAATACTCTTTTATGTATATTTTGTTTTGGATTAAGGTCTCATTTTTAACTCAGCCTAGACTGGGATTCACTTTGCTCATGTTGCAGCCTGATGAGTTAAAAATCCAGTATTTTAGAAGTGATTTAAAATGAAAAAGAATATATTTTAAAAGATTTTGGAAAATGAGGATTTGTTTGTTTGTTTGTTTGGTTGGTTGGTTTGGGTTTTTGGTTTTTTTGAGACAGGGTTTCTCTGTATAGACCTGGCTATCCTGGAGCTCAGTCTGTAGACCAACCAGGCTGGCCTCAAATCACAGAGATCAGCCTGCCTCTGCCTCCGGAGTTCTGGGATTAAAGAAGAGAGCCACCACCACCCATAATTATTATCATGACTGAAAAAAAAATTCACATTTGAATTTGCATTCTTTTACATAGAACCATTTTATAAAAATCATTAATTTATTTATTCATATGTACATAATCCTAGACACTGTCAAACTTAGATGAAAAGTTGTCAGCTAAGGAAATTGTTTCCCTCTCACTGGTGATATCACTAATAAGGCACATCAAAAAGTCATTCTTGTTTATATATCTTTGCAATGATTTTCTGTATATATTTGGTAACAAATGAGAAGCAACTACCAAAAAATACAAACTTGGTGTTTCAGAATTAACTTACTTAAATGTAAAAAGAATATTACTACTTCCTTGGATAACATCAAGAGAACTAAGGATAAGAGGTTTGATGATCAAAAGCAAAAGGCCAGCCAATGAATGTTCATATCGTTTTAAAATTTTGATAACTACAAAGACACACGCTGATTGTTCAGGATGCAATTAGCAACTTTTTGCACATCTAACCTTAAAGCAAATTTTTAAAACTGATTCAACCCCACATTCTACTTCTTCATTAATTGCTAGCTCAGGGACCCAAAAGTGTTCTAATGAATTTTACATTAGAATCTGCAATATGAACAGAGAATATTATCACAGCTACTAGTAAATGCATACATTGGCCTTTGTGAGCAGAATTCTGAACATTTATGAAGAATCCAGCTGGATTTCAAATTCCTTATTATGCCTGAAAAGAAAACAAATTAACAAGACCAAAATTGCCATAAATAAGCACATTTTTGAGAACGTCAATCTATCTTACTGCTTGATAATAACCTTGGGCTTCTATTTCACAAAATGCAAAGATGCATGGCCACCTGTGCTTCAGAACAAGGAAACTTCTGCCACCTACACTGATTTCAAAATGTGTGACGAGTAAGTTTTAAAATACCGCTTCTATACTAGCTTCCTACATTGTCACTAGATAACCTGTATGCTGACTGTATTTAGCATTAATACTTAGGCTTTATCACTTCACAACTATTGTCATCTCCCTAAAGGTCTTTGAAAACAGAAGTTCAAGAAAACTGTTATACAAACAGAATAAACAAACAAGGTACGAGTCAGCTTCTGCTCTCAAAGAAGAAACAGCTACTGAGCCACATGGGGAGCTTCCTTTTGTATACAAATTCTCTAGTCTCATGCAAAGATTATGTACTGAGCACTAGTGACCAAGCCATGGTTTGCTAAATGACAGACACACTGCCTTAGCAGAAAGTATAGAGCAAAGGAATAAGTACCAATAAGGTCGTATTGACCCCCCAAAAAGCTATTTACACTATAAATGTGAAGACTACATAGAAATACAACAAACCTCCAAGGTGGAAAAGTTAGGTACAGGCTTTCAATCATTATTTCTTAAGTAATTGAAATTCAGCATATTGTGCACTATTTAGAATCAGCACATGGGTATTGATCAGATGTGAACATTAGGACATTAAGAAACTTCTTAATATCCAAGAACATTTAGTAGTACTCTCTGATTTCCAGTTATTCTGTCAGAATAGTCCTCTAATAATTCATACAGCCCATGCCATCACATAAGCAGGTGTGTTACCAAACATACCACATCTGTCTTCCCTGGATAAAATATGGCTCAAATTCACCTCTGAACCTTATATAAAGCTATCTGTGCTTCTTTATCTGTTTTCCTTCATTATTCAGATTTAGAAAAACACTAAACTCCAATAGTTCCCGATGGCTGGACCCCAGGTGTAATATTATATTAACACAGCTTTGTTTACTCATAAATTTGATGGTCCATTAACAATATCTGTCGTCAGCGGGGACTAATTTTGGTCCTGCCTGCTTCTAAGTTAATGACAGCACTCAAGAATTTCATGGGTAGAAAAGCTACTGGTTTGGTCTCATCATTTTATAACATCTTGAAAATATTTTCTTGCCACCAGCATTTAGATAGAAAACTAAGAGTTTCTATTGGAATTATGTCCATGTTTAAACATTGAAATGTCCCACAATGATACAGACATCAAAGCTCTCCTGAGCACCTTACTCTTTAGCTGTTCGCACATTTTGCTCACATTCTGCAAGGAACTCAGAATTCTCAAAGAGATGTCCTTAACTCTTTCACTGCCATGCACCAAGATCAAATACTGCAAACAATCTAAGGATTATAGCGATCAAAGAGTTCTAGAAAATCTTTAACTGCTTGAAGGAAGGGCAGCTTTTATGCTCTTCCCGTAAACTGCAGTGAGCAGCAGGGAGGGGACTACCCCTCACACAACTGTGCCTTTTTTTCTTTCTTTCTTTCTTTTTAATCACAGACGCTGCTTCCTTAGACTGAGGCACCGCTAACGGTGGTGCTGACGTGAGGACATAAAAGATACATTCACACAATCCAGTTCTACCCCCACCCCCAAACCAGAGCTGCGCGGCACATGTCTTTAGCAGAAGGAACCTCAGCAAAGGAGACAGCATTTTATTGACAGCACTAGAAAAAAAAAAATCACAACAAAGAAATAGTGAGCCTTTTCTACTCCGGTTCAACTCCGTTACCAAGCTCTGCCAGCTTTGATTTAAAAAAAAAAAAAAAGTCATTACCTGTATGAAGAGAACCTGTTAATAGCCTGAGAAGGTACTGGGCAAATTTCAATATTTCACGTTTACACCGTTTCCTACAGCCACTCATCTTAAGCAACAAGGTATTCCTCTGAGGAGTGTCAGAAGTCTTTGCCAATAGAAAAGAAAAGAAAAAAAAAAAAAAAAAAAGAGGCGGCTTCTGAGGGGAAACTTCTGTCTCAGTTTATGTATCGAGCTGCCTTACAACTCCTGGGGAATTAGCTGTGAGTGCCTGGGTCAGAAGGTACAGCAGCCAGTGCAGACGCAAGAGTAACGGGGCACTAGGAAGCGCTGCCTCTCAGGACGGTCACCAAGTTCTTCTGTGGCAACAGATAGGCTGCTGCTTTACACTCGTAGTAACCCAGCTATGGTGCATCTCGGCATCCTCTCTCCTGAAGCAATTGCAACCTCACCGACCATGCCGAGGGAGGCGGGGCCTGCATTGCCAGCTCATCAATGAATCAGCATGTAAGCAGGTGAGCAGACAGATGACAGGTCAGTGGGGCTGGAGCCCTTTGGACACCAATAAGAGATCCTGCTAAACAATCAGGCCTGCTGGGGAAGAATCTCGGGGTCCAGGGGTGTCCAAAAGGCTTCTAAATGATAAAAGAGAGGTTGGAAAGAGACTGTTCGAGACAAGAACTCAGATGTTTCCCCCACACAGTGGGATCATATTCAGAGAGCTTAGATTTGGGCGGGGGGGTGCTCTTTGGAGAAGCTGAATGTGACTCTCAGCAGAGTTGAGGATTTACCAGAGGAATGAAGCAATATCGCTCTGCCACAGAGATATATTCAAGCACGCAGGCTCTAAGGTAGAAAATGACCTGACACCCAAAACACTATTATTTCTGCACTGTCCAGACTCAGGTTATTTGGGAATCAGAAGAAACCATTATCTGCTTTCCAGCACAGTAACCTGGAAGCCGCAGTTGTGAAGCTCTGTACTTTGGGGCGACAGAGCCCCCAAATTAACTTGCTGCATCGTGCTAAAAGCAGGAACTGCCTTGGTGTCTTCTTAAAAGGCAAATGCAACTTATTTCCCTATAGACTGATTTAAGTTTGGAGAGCAACCCCAAGGACCTGCTATTTGCACAGGCCACTTTTGTACCGAGAGTGCCACTGCACAGGCAGTTTGTTATAAATGCCTGAGGAGCAGATGCTTGTATCTTAGAAAGTGTCGTTATTTCAGAATTCTTCAGGGCTTTGGGCAGTTTCTTGGTTGCTTTACATTCTTAATTAATACTCTCAGGGCTTTTGTTTGTCTTTACTGGCTCTGTATAAATATAAAGACTGTCTCTGTGATATTCAGTACATAAAGGAAATTCAAACTCCTTATTTTAAAAGGCCCTCTAGCCCCATTTTTGACACACTTAAGAGTTCTATTTGGAACTAGCATTTTTCACCAATGCTAAGCATGAAGTGATGTTCTTATACAATAATAATAAGAAAAAGACATGTAGTGAAATCCCAGGCTTAAGGTATTTAGTGGTAACTTGTCCCCTCTTCAGTGCTCTAATCAATATCCACAGCCTCAGTGATGTACCTATTGAAATGGGTTAATGAAGACGCACACTTTCCAGGTATAAAATAAAGATATATATATGCACACAGGTTATCAAAATGCTTTTAACTTTTATCTTCTATACCTAAGGCATCTTTGAAAGTATTTGGTACACAAAAGATAAATATACGTTACATAATATATAAATGAATAATGATGTAAAGTCTCACTATTTTGTCTGTGAAATTAATATTTATGTGTGTTATTCTTTAGCTGTAAGGGTGAAATAGGATGCACTACAGGTGATATTAAGCACAGTACTTTTATGCATTTCTCTAGTGGGTTCATAGTGAGCATTTTTTTTATGTGCCAGGCATGGTTCCATGCACTGGGGACACATTGGTGAGAAAGGGAAAGACATTGCTCATATGCTACCTATATCTCAGTACAGAGAGGAAGATATAATCGAATGCTAAACAAGAATATATCACATATGGTTAACTTCTAAACTAGAGTAGCAGGGAAAAAATGAGTAGGCTAAATAGGAAAGACATAATTTAAGAAAGGGATCCTAGTGTATAAAATACCAGAGTGAGTCAATCATGAACTATCAAGGGCATATGAGGTAGAGAGAACAGCTTTAGTGCAGGGCACCTAAGCTGGGCCTGAGACCAGCATCCTTAACGGATAGCAAGACACATGTGTTTGCTGAAGTACACTAACCCAGGGGAGGCTCCTAAGGCATGTTTGCTAGGGTAGAACAAGGACATCCATGCTTCAAGCCAGTCCCTGGAAAGGAAAGTTGTCTCATCTGTCTGCTAAGTAAAGATGCCATGCAATGGAGCTAGAGGAGATGAAAGAATACCTGTGAGGAGGAAGCACAGTGGTCCAGGAGAGAAATGATGGAGGCATGCATGGCCTGCAGTGGAAATAAAGGTAGTTTGTTTCTGTATATACAAGGAAACAGAATCAATAGGGTTTGGTACATTGACATAGGCCATCAAAATGGGAGAATTAATGGTGACTTGACTGGGATTATATAATTAGTGGGGATATTCAATGAACTGCTGAAAAGCTATGGTGTAAAATTAAAATTAGCATGGTTATTTGACTTTCAACTTTTGAGGAAATTCCATACTTTTTTCCCTAAAATCCCCATTAGTGTTCCCTTTCCTCGACATCCTCATCAATATTTATTGTCTTTCATTTTGATTATAGTCATTCTAACAATTGTGCAATAGAACTTATGTGATTCCAATTTATATTTTCTTGTTGACTAATGATGCTGAGCAACTTTTCATAGACTGTTGGATCATATGTTGGTCTTTTTCAAGAAATGTCTACTCAAGTGCCTTTCTCAATTTTAATTGGAATGTTTTCTTGTTCTTGTGATATACAAATTTCCTGCACTGAGGCATAGCAGTCTCTTATCAGATGTGCATATTTCTCCCAACCCATGAGCTTCCTTTCTCTCCTCATAACTGTTTCTTTTGCTTTGCCAATACTTTTGAGTTTGATATACTTTTTTCCTTTTGTTATCTTCAATTTTGAGTTTTTATATAAAAAATCATCACCCAAACCAAAGTCCTACCATTTTTCTTTTTTTAATTTTTTTCTTTTTTTAAAATTTGTAATTAATTTAATTTTACATATTAGCCACAGATCCCCCTGTCCTCCCTCCTCTCACCCCCATCCCCACCCATCCCCAATCCACCCCCCATTCCCACCTCCTCCAAGGCAAGGACTCCCCTGGGGATTCAACTCAGCCTGGTAGATTCAGTTGAGGCAGGTCTAGTCCCCTCCTCCCTTCACCTAGGCTGAGCAAAGTGTCCCAGCATAGGCCCTAGGTTCCAAAAAGCCAGCTCATTCACTGAGGACAGGTCCCAGACCCACTGCCTGGGGGCCTCCCAAACAGTTCAAGCTAATCGACTGTCTCACTTATCCAGAGGGCCTGATCTGGTTGGGGGCTCCTCAGGTATTGGTTCATAGTTCATGTGTTTCCAGTAGTTTGGCTATTTGTCCCTATGCTTTTCTCAATCATGGTCTCAATATCTCTTGCTCATATAATTCCTCCTCTCTCTCGCCAGTTGGACTCCTGGAGCTTCACCTGGGGCCTGGCCGTGGAACTCTGCATCTGCTTCCATCAGTCATTAGATGAGAGTTCTGCCACGACAGACAGTTAGGGTGTTCAGCCATCTGATCACCAGAGTGGGTCATTTTGGACCATTGCCAGTAGTCTATTGTGGAGGTATCTTTGTGGATTTCTGGGGACCTCTCTAGCACTTTGCTTCTTCCTATTCCCATGGGGTCTTTATTTATCATGGTATCTCTTTCCTTGTTCTCCCTCTCTGTTCTTGATCCAGCTGGGATCTCCCACTCCCCTAAGCTCTTTTCCCCATGATGCTTGTCCTTCGTCACCCACCCTCATGTCCAGTTTGCTCATGTAGATCTCATCCATTTCTCTGTCATTGGGTGATCCCTGTGTCTTTCTTAGAGTCCTCTTTACTAGGTAGCCTCCCTGGAGTGGTGAGTGGCAGTCTAGTCATCCTTTGCTTTACATCTAGTATCCACCTATGAGTGAGTACTAAATTTTCTTCTAAAATATTTTATTTCTAGGTCTTAATTTTAGTCTCTAACCCATTTTTAATCATAAAATAAGGGCTCACTTTCACTGTTGTGTACAATATATATAGTTTTTCAATATTATTTTTTGAAGAGAAGATATTCTCTGCATAATGTGCTATTGTACATGTGTCAAAATCCCTTTTAGACCTACATGCAAAAAAAATTGAAATTAACACATCCCAAATAAATTGGTACCCATATGGTCACTTTAGCACAATCTATAATGTTAAAGATACAAAAGGAACTTGTGTCCATCAAGAAGTAAATGGGTAAAATTTGGTACACATAAAATAGAAAACTATTTAACCTTAAAAAAAAAGGAAATTTTTCATTTTTGACTATGTGAATGAATCTGGAGTATATTAATGTAAGGAAAAGAGGAAAAAGAAAGACCAATTCTGTGTGTTCCTACTTTATATAAAATCTAAGTGTATCAAATTTATACACACAAAAAGTATAATTGTAGTTACAAAAGGCTGAGGGTTGGGGCACACAAAATTGTGATCAAATACAAAGCTTCAGATAAACGGGAAACATATTTTACTGTTATATTACATAGCATGATAAACAAAGGCATTGACTTTTTTACTTCAAAATTGCTAAGATTTAAGATACTTTTATCAGAATAAATAAGTAGAATCACTTATGAATACATAGTAACTGGATGACCTAATGTTATATACACACATTACATCATACTATAAATATATATGTGTCAATCAAAACTTTAAAAATAAGATTGAGAGCTATAGGACTCTTTTGAAATTAAGAAAACCAAAGGTTCTACTTTGAATACCCTTTAAATTGAAAAAGCTTAAATTTACTCTGAAGTGAAGGGTGTTTTTTAAACTAATTTGTTCATTTTTAAATATTTATGGAAATGGTATTTATCATTACAGAACCTCCGGACATCAAAAGAAAAGAGCCTATATAGTATTCACCTAGTTTTCAAACACAAATACAATGGAGATTAGGTGACACAAATAACACACTTATTTGTGACTGTTGCAGAGATGAGAAGGTTAAGGATCAAAGCACCTTCATCTTCAGATCTTGGAAAGCCTCTCTTCTTGACTTGTGCAATGAAGACTTCCCACTCTACCAACTGTTGGGGCAGATAGCAAGCTCTAGTTTCGAGCTTACCTTGTTTTTACAGTGACACTAATTGTTACACAAGGACTCTGTCCTCACTGCCTACATTTCTCTCTTTTAAAAACACTAATGCTATTGATTAAACTCTTTCCTTCTAAACTTAATTACTTCCAAACCCCCACTTTCAGATAATCACACTTGGAGTCACAGCTTTACTATGTACCTAGAAGTAAGGAATAACACACACACACACACACA